TGTATAACTGTCCATGTTCAGTTTCTTCTTGGAATTCTGGCTGACAACAAGGGAAGCTTCTTAAGATGCTTGGGGCAATTTATATACTTTATATCTCATTATGACCCAATAATATGTCAAGAATGCATCAGGCATCTATAGAACAAATTCTCTTAAGACAAATCCAAGGAGTGGTTTGATGTCATGTCTTTGCCATGAAAAAACCTAGGTTTAGGCTGGATTTTTGTGAAAAAATATCCAGTTACTTAATCATTAAGGTTCTGAAAGGCTTTTATTTCATTGCAAGGCTTATTTTCTCACAGAATCACAGTTGAAAAATAGGTCATATTTTGTAGACTGTTTTAGAGTCAAATGGTTTGCACTATTATGGGAGTTTTTCCTGATGCCCAACCTCGATTTTCCTTCTTTTAATTTCATATAATTATTTCAAGTAACAACCTCAAATAATTTCAGTCTGTTCATATCTCTTCATCTGCTATGTCTACACAGTTCTTCTGTTTTGTAATCTGTTATCATTTCCCCCTCTAGCCATTGCTCAGTCACACTGCATGTATTTTCCCTTTTAATTTTCCTTGATGAATCAATCTCTGCAGCCCTTGAGCAGGATTTTTTTTTCTCAATGCCAAAAAGCATTTATTTGGTGTAATTTTCTTTTTGCATGTGTGTGGCAAAGAGCTCACACCTACCAACTAATATAATAAGAATGGGAGCCAAACCCTTCACATCATCAGTATTTCACCAGCTGTGCAAACCAGACAAAGGAACTGTGTGGATACACAAACTTATTTCTTCTATACATTGCAAAATAAGCTGTGCTATTTAATGAGAAGAGAAAAAAAATCACTCAAGGAGAAAGGAATATTGAAGAGTTCCCATGTAGTTGACACCAGTCCTTTCATCACGCTCATTTACACAAGTTCATAGTGTAGTTACAAGCAGCCATAATTACAGCCCTTACTTAGTCAGTGTGTGGGAACCTACCAACTTAGAGCAACTGAAGGATTCTGCAGGGTTCTTTGGGGGTGGCATGAGTTAGTGCTGCATATAACATGGCCTGAGGCGTTTGGTGTTCAGAATGGTGTGGGGAGGCCACTTCATGTTACTTTTCTTGGGGATGTGATACATTGCTTTTACAAGTGTTTTGTTGGTGTGAATTGTAGTGTGTTCTGTACAAATGCAATATCACTTTTCATTTATGATATCACTTTTCACTTACGTATGTACAAAGTTTATTAATTTCTAGTGATGACAAACTGCTTTGCAAACTGTGTTTGGCCCTTTCAGTTGCACTGATGGGATTGGGAATGGGTCTTACTTTCAATACTACACTATGGGAAGATAAGGTGTTATACAAGGGAAGAATAATGAAAAGCACAAATACAGACTGGAAGGCTTCATATTACAGGCTTCATAGCAGCACTGCTGAGACAGATCTGGGGGTTTTGGTGAATCACAGGCTCAACATGAGTCAGCAATGTGATGGAGTTGGGAGGAAAAAACAAAACAAAACCCCAACCCATGCAAATGTGATTTTACATTTCCTCAACAGGAGTATTAGGTGCAAGACATTGGAGCTGATAGTGCCATTCTGCTTAGCACTAATTAGGTCTCATCTAGATTATTGTCTGCAGTTCTGGACCCCACATCTTAAGAAGGATGTGTGGAAAATAGAGAGAGTCCAGAAGTTAGTGACCGTCACAGGACAGGGTCCCCAGGGATGGCTATGGAACCTCTAGAGCCCCTTGACCATGCCAGTTTGGCCCAATGGGCACCCTCGTTCTCGTCTGCCATGTCTTGATGCAATTATAATAAATAGGGAGGCTCCCTTCAAGTCTAGCTGGACACGGCCCTGATACACCCCACGGAACCCCATGGGTTCCCAGACCCCTTGTGGGTCTCGTTTCAAAATGGATGTCTTGGGACACCCCCAGCCTTATGGGCTATATGTGTGGCTCCAAACCACCCCTTTACCATGCCCCAAGCCTCGCAGATGGTATTGACACAGCATCCCTCCAAGGCCTTGGTTTCACTCAGCCCTTGGGTCATCACAGGGCTCTCCACAGCCCCGTCTCTCTCTGCGCCCCTCCGGTGCAAGGGTCTGTTCACCCCCAAACACTGCACCCTCTCTGGTGCTGGGGTCCCCACACTGTAGTGGGCCCCCTTAATGAGGCCTCCTCCTTCCCCAGTAGCCTCAGCCCAAACCACCGGTGTTATAAACAAAAGTAAAAAATGCAAGCCCGTAGGCTACACCATAACTCAAGCTGCACAAGGTGTGCTCTGCCCTTTAACATTACCAGGAGCAGACTTACAGTCAGGCCTCTTCCCTTCACTTCCTCTAGGTGAGCTCCTTCCCCTTTGGCTGCTGGCAGAGAACTGCCTTCCCTCGTTCCAGCCTGGGGTTTATATGCGCCCAGGGCCCTGCCTCTTCTGGTCAGCTGACCAGGTGCTGGTGCGGACTAATTTGCTCACTAGCTTGTTGCCCTCAGCCTGCGCCTGAGCTTCTGTCGGTCTCTTTAGGCTCTCCCTAGGTAGTTTCTACTTTTCTAGGAGCAGGCACCTTAGTGCCCTGTGACAGTGCCAAGAATGACAAAGGTATTGGAAGGCAAGCTGCGCAAAGAAAGATTGAGAGAACTAGCCATGTTTTGCTTGCAGAAAAGGTGATTAAGGGGGGCATGGCAGCAATCTTCAAATACCTGAAAGCCTGCCATAAAAGAGAAAGAAGAACTTTTCCCCCATGCTACAGAGAAAAACTTTTCTCCCATGCTGCAGGCCATGGAACAACGGCTTCAAATTGCAGCAAAGTAGATTTAGATTAGATATTAGGAATAACTTACTGCTAGAACAGAGGCAGGGGAATAGACTGCTCAGGGAAGTTGTGGCATCTCAATTGGAGGCTTTGGAGAAAAGTTTGGATAAGCAGTGATCATGGATGATTTAGGAGTAGCATTCCTGCATTTGTGCAGGAAGTAGAACCAGATGACACATGAGGTCCTTTCCAGCCCTGTGATTCTATGATTCACACAACAGCTATCTCTGGGGTAAAAGGATAATAGCAAGTTGGCACAGAAGTTTTCAAGAAGAAATACTAGAGCAGGCTGTTACACTTGCTTAATGTACTATGCAATCTTTAATTTCTCTGCTGAAGAAATGAAGCACCTGTTTCTAACGTAACTTCATTGTACTGCATGATAAACAAAATAAATGAGTCAACTCTGCTGGGGACTGTACCACCAAGACCACTGGCCAATGCCTCTCTCCAGGGGCAGAACCTTGTGCTGAACATAGGAATTCCTCTGTGCAATTCACTATTACATCTATTATTGTCACAGGTGTAGAACATGTGATTTGAGTGGACTTGGATTTTACCTTCATGAGAGCTTCCTTCCAGTCAGTTTGGTCATATTTCTATTTTGCCATTCCCCATAAGGCTGAGTAAATTCAGTACTAAACCACTGCTTGCTATGATGTGGCAGCTAGGATAAAAATGTCTATAAGGGGAGTTTAATGAACTTAGACTCCTACTTCAGAATTTAGAAGACTCACAAACTACACCAAAACCTCCCCCTATCCATACACAGATCTTTGGACTCATTTCACTTCTATACAAACAAGTAGGATCTCTCAGCTCATAGCTTGAACTATTTGCCAGTGGATTGCTGAATCAGCACAATTCCTTACAATAGACCTCTATTCTAGTGTGTTCTCTGTATATCCCCAGTGAATCTTGTGTGACTGCCTTACTGATGGCTTGTGAGAGCTGGTGCCTGTGCCTGCGTGAAGCAGAAAGGGGACCGTTCACATTTTATATACTACCCTAATCTCACAGGGCAGGAAAAGCAAAACTCTCAAGAACACAAATAAATCTTTCCTTGACTCAAGATGTACCACACTGTCCTGGGGGATTTGGCTGAGCGGGCCTGCTTTGATAAATAGTATCTGGATTGCTGCAATCATTTGTTTTCCAGCCTCATTTTTCTTTAATTTGAATCATGCCTCCATAGTCCATGTCACATCAGAGGATGTAATATAACTGTGTAGGTAACACACAACTCACAATTATTTTCTTTAATGCTCCAGCAGAGAGAGATCTTTAAATCATTCTTTTCTTTGGCCACTAGCCCTCCCCAGAGAAGTTGATATACATATTCTCAGTGCACTGTTAACAAAATCAAATAATAAACAGACTCTGCACTCTCTTTCTAGCTAAGGAGTTCCAGCACTTAGCAACATTAATGAATTTAGCTCTCACAGGAGCTAATGAAATAGCCCTAATTATACAGATGAGGAAAGTGAAGTTAAGTAACTTGCTTGTAACTGTTTCTTGGCCAGCAGCAGCTACCAAGATTTCAGAAGCGTTCTGTTAATTGTATTGAGAGCAGAGTCTATCCCTTAGTGAGAACTTTTGAAAATCTTTTGCCAGGACTCTTAACCGCTAGCCACATACCTTTTCCATGAATCCTTCTGTCCCTTGAGTTTCATGTTCACTTTCCTCCAATATTTAAAAAAATGTAAATCATCTCATCTTTCCAGAAATGATTGTTAAGGAGTGATAAGCTAAGACCAGTACAACTGATTTAGCCTATTATGTCTTCAATGCAGAACTTTCCCGATAGCCCTTACTTTTATTTACACTGCTGCATTTTCAGTAATGTAAGTTGCTACAGATCTAGGTTGTCTACACAGATAATGCTAAACAAATATGTATTATTATGAGCCTAATTCTGTCCTCAGTTACATGAATGTGCCTCCCCCTCTCTGCCTGAAAATAGGGCTCTAAGGCTCAGAACTTGTGAAAAATTATGTGCATGCTTAATGTTAAGCAGATGAGTAGTAGCTAACAAAAATGAGTTTGCATTGTAGGATCAGGGTCATAGTAGTTTAACAGAGCTTCAGAAGTGTGAGCAGCATGATGGATTAGCTTGGTGTAAGTCCCAGAGATCCCTGGGACTTGGTCAACCAAACAGAGCTTGTTCTGAAGATGTAAGGTTTGTACCTCATATCTTGCAGGGAAGTTATAGAATTTCTGGGAAACCTCAAAGAACAGGTGTTTGGTCTCACCAATTTACTCATTAATTCAACTCAGCTTTACATAAACTGCAGATCTTATATTTATTAAAAGCAGATGTCATTTTATCTACTCTGCATTTTAGTAGCCTCATATAAAAACAGAGGCCATCACCTCTGTGGGAATAAATTGGTCTGGTTCCATTCAACTGGTCCTTCCATTGAATTTCCTGAATTTACTTCAGCTAAGGTTTGTCCCCTATTACTCAGACACAGTAATACATTCTGAACAAAGAGGGGCAAGTAAGTACATTTGCTATTCTGGTGGTGGTGGTGGGGGGGGGGGGAAGAATGGTGGGTTTAGATAGGAATCAATCATGTCTTGTAATGTGGGCTTCTTCATGCTCTGAACCTGGGCATGAACTCTTGCATCCTTGGTACTAGCAGGGAGGGACACTCCCAAGCATGCTATGCCCACCTGCTCCCATTCTCATATGCCAAACCTAGAAATTCAGCAGTGAAGCAGCACCCCTTAAAGCTGCATCTCCAGCATGCTTCAAAGTGATCTTGAGGTGGTGCTCAGAAGAGGACAATTGAGGAAAATCTCTTGTTTTACTCTCCTGTCTGCTGTATGCTCTTGCTGTGAATCCAGACTGATCGCGAATTTTGCCCTTTTCAGTTAGAAAATGTGGAATTTCCAGAGCTGCAAGCCCACCTTTGAAGAGGCTGCATTGAAAGATGCAGTCTGATCTTTTATATCACCTAAATAAACATGGTCTACAAAGTCAAGAGTTTTCAGGGAGACTGGGAAGATTAAAGATTCATTTTTAAAAAGTGTTCTTCAGTGCAGGTAGTGGCATGGCAAGCTCCCAGATGCAGATCTCTTAATCCTTCACTCTGTACAACTAAGCAGAGCACAGCACCCCGGGAAATTTGCTCATTCTCTAAAGGCACTTATTAGCTCTGTCTGCTGTTCATTCACATTCTGTTTGAATATTCTGGCACCGTACCCTGCTAGCAACAATAGCAGCATATAATATTGTTATTAACTAGAGGGAGCTTTGCTTAGGATAGATGGAAAGTTGGGGGTTTGTGGTAAAAGCCTTCCGATACTTCCTTTTACGTTAAGTTCTGTCCCTGCTCACTACCAAGACATGAAAGCTGTAAGTAGTGGCTGCTGACAATCAGCTTCTGTTTTGTCTTCTGATCTGAAATGAATTCTGTATTCTTTGTATTCCTTCCTTATGTCTCCATCTGGTTTCTAATTGACCCATACTGCAGTTTTCAACTGCTGAATGCAACACTAGGAGCAGCACAAGTAATGTCCAAGTTAAGTTTGGGTCTGGCTCCTTCCTATGCCTTGTTTTCCTTTTAGATAAAGCCAGTTAGAGGTTTCAGAGAGCTAATGTCCTCAAAGCATGATGCGATTACCATTATTTACAATGCTTAGGATGCTGCAGAGTGAAATACAGAGAGATTTTCTGAAATGGTCAGAGAAATTACCTACATCATTTGACCCTCTGGGACAGAAATATTAGTACTATCCTGTGATGACCTTGATGTCTTTGAATAAAACAGAATTTCTTAGGCAAAATTAACTATAGCACCACCTGACTGTCCCCAGGGAGCTGCAAGGCACTGTTCAGTTGTCTTCTAAAGGTACCTGAGAACTTTTTAAAAGATGTTCAGGCCTAGCTTCCTAGGACCATGGTATGAAACTCAAGATGAATGGAGGAACAACTAAGACAAGCAGCCAGGGACAATTAGAGATGCAACTAAATGACAGGTGCAATGTTGCCAGGTGAAAGAGTTTCCATTCTGATTCTCATGTCTTTTTTGCTCTAGGTTTGCTATGCTGAGCCTGGAGTTTGACTACATGTGTCAGTATGATTATGTGGAAATCCGTGATGGGGACAATATAGATAGCCAGATAATTAAGCGATTCTGTGGCAATGACAGGCCTCCTCCTATCCGGAGCAGTGGGAATTCTCTTCATGTTCTTTTCCAGTCAGATGGATCCAAGAATTTTGATGGATTTCATGCCGTCTTTGAAGAAATTACAGGTAAGCAATCAAAAACTGGAACATTGTACTTTAGTCTCATTAATTCAATCTCACTAATTGTCTTCTCCATTCTGCTTCATTAAAACATTTCATGCTGTGTTGCCAACAGCAGCGCATAGAAGTAGGTGCAGGGAAGGGTACAGAACCATCCTATGGTTTACTAAAATGGAGCTAAAATTAATGATACCCCATCAAGTTCTATCTGATCGTGGCAGTTTAGGGATGCAGTTTTCTGGGTCTGGGACATTTCTTTCTGCATCAGAGGCATAATGAGCTATCTCTGGATATCAGGGGTAGTGTCAGTTGCTGGGCTGGTAGTCATAGCTACCATTCATGTGTCCCCTTTAAATGGGCTCATGGGGTTAATGACCCGCTCACCCATCCATAGTTTTTCTACTGCACCATAAACCTGGGAACACGGAAGGAAGTAGAAGTTGCATACATAGCTCTGTGCAGCCACAGAATTGCTCGAGATAGGCCATAGGAAAAAACAGATTTGAAAGGTAGAAACATGTTGCATTTCTGAGGAGTCCCCCTGTGAAAGCGTTCTGATATTCCATCAATTTATTTTTGTTGCTTTACCTTTCTTCTTATTAGAAGTCTGTGTTAAAAAGACTTCCTTTCATGTAGGGAGGACACAGAGGAGTCTGCCCATGAAAAATAGCAAACAAACTTTTTTTCTCTGCTTTAGAGAATTATGTGATGTCCTGAATATTTGATTGAAAGTAGGTGGGTTCCAAAATTCCAGTTTATTTATTACTAAATTAGGTTTGGTTTGATCTTAAGGCAGGATAGCATTTCCCCCTCAGCATTATTACCTGTTCATGTTTTTGTTGTTTTTTTTAAAGAAATGTTTCATATTCCAAGCCAAATCAAGTCCAAATCCGTGAATCAGTCTAGAACCATAAGTGGCCTACAACCAGCAAACGTCCTCCACCCCCGCCACAGCTTCAGATATTTCCAATGGCTTTTGGCAGGCATCCTACGTGCAGGCTCAAGCCCAGAGGTTTGGGGTTTAGATGCCCCCAAGTTTCATCTGCCCCCAGCCCAAGAGCAAGCTAGGGAGGAGCCTCTCGTTTTCATAAAGTGGGCTTTAAGCCCCAACACCTCAGCAGGTACTAAACCATGCCAGAAGAACAGCTATCCCAGGGCACGCTTAAGGAAAACTGCCTTCTTGGACCCAGATACATGGTGTTTCCCCTGCCTGCCCATGTTGCCTGACTGCAAAGAAACACTAGGCATGCTGCTAGCTTTGGTTTGGCCTTCTGATCAGTAGTTAGCTGCCCGTTTCTCTTATAATTTTCTTTACAGGGCAAGTCTGTCAAATCTGTCCATAGGTTTCCTGGCAGAAGAGGCTGAACAGGGTGTGCTGGTTTGCTATAGATATCTACAGGATCCATGACTCATCACAATTGGCACAAGGATTTGCCAGGTCTTGCATGCAGTAAGACATATGGGTTCCCAGCTACACTGTGGTGGCCCAGATATAACGTGAGCACATGGGGTATAAGTCTGGCTGAAGAACTGCTCTGGGTTTATACAGTCCTTTTGTAAGCATGCAAACCACTCCCTGGCTCCAAACCTATTGGGATTCAACTATTACTAACAATCAGGGGTGCTGCCACCTAAAAAGTGAACACACACAGGCTGACTGCTGCTTACATATCTGTAAGTGGCAGATTACCCATAGTCTCCCTACTTACCTATCTGTTCTTACCTAGAATACAAACACCAGATAACAGAATGCAATAGTGAGAGCAGTTCGGTTTTGAAAGCTAGACCTCTGTTAATGGGAGAGCTGATGAAAAACAAAATTTGCTTTCACAAAATTAACTTGGTGTGGGGTATGTTGCATAAGGCCGCCTACACTCATGGGGCTAACATTTTCCATACAGAGCAGGATGAATTGATTCTGCTTTCCTTGCTCAGCAGGGAACTGTTAATATTCTAGTGTTGTCTTGCCCTTTATTTCCGCCTTGCTTTTAGCAGCAATTTTTAAAAAAGCCTGGGGTGGCTCCTAGCATTGTGAGCCATGAAGAGCATAATGCAAAGGGGTTCGAGTTTGTATTGTGCACCTTATTGTGAGTCTGTCCTGGCCTGATGTGTAGCTGAAATGCAACGCTTTTAAAGCCCTCACAATGTCTCTTTGTGTGAAGTATTAATCTGGCCAACAACACAGTTTTAAGGGAAAAATATAGTGTACCTGGGGGGAGCTACAGGATGAAAATGTAGTCTGCACATGACAAGCTGCAGCATTCATGCTCCTGAAATCCTCCTCAGTGCAAAGGCCCAGGGAATGGTAACTGATATCTGTGGAATAGGGTAGGCAGGGCTCAATCAGTTAGTTACCTGTACTGTTGTTGAGAAGTAAATCAGCTCCAAGGCTCGGGAATAGCCTGGTAGGCTGCCATGGTATAAACGATGTAGAGGAGATCAAGAGTAGAAGATGGGGAAAAAGTGGCTCATGCCATCAGGGCTCCTTTCATTCACACACTTCAGCCCTGTGGAGCACCTGTACTCAGGTCACCTTTGTTCTGAGCCCTTGTGTTAGCAAAGCAATCATGATCCCATTGAAATGAAAATGCTGATTGAAATCATAAGACCGATTGCAGGACCCAGTCCAAATGGTCAGATGCACTTAGGTAAACACAAAGCAATCTGTGAAGGGTATGGCCCACGAGGACAGACCATTGGCCATGTAGTTAAAAAAAGCAGCAGCTTAGCCAGATGAACGGCCTGTATTAGAAGCAGGCGTTAACCACCTGAGTGCAGCAACACACACTGTGTCAAGGATAAAGTATAATCCAGTCCTTGGCGTCAGTTACCGGAAATGCCTAAGCTGACCTCAGATATGAAAGATGGTGGACCATGCTAAAGTAAGATAAGCAGAATAAATCCTTTCACTCCTGTGTGTGGTTGACCCTCTTTGATAATCCCTTGTGGATGGTAAGGGAATTCCCTGTAGACTCGTGGTGACTTATGAAACAATGTGAATACAACATCCCACAGGGAGAAAGAGAACTAAATTGTCTTTACATTTATAACTGAGACAAGTTGGGATAGAATAGGGTTACTTGGAAAGAGAATGGTACAGGGAAGTTCCTAGATTTCATAGTTCAGGTGAGTTTGGGTAAAAGCGGTCAAAATAAAGTGTAGATATAAAGTGGAAGCCTTTTTTTGGGGGAAGAAAAATGTTATGAAAAACATTTTTCACACAGCTCTCCTAGCTGGGTATTGAGGACTATGTGGAGCACATTGCAGTGCACATTACAAAGTATTAGTTCGCCAGAGCAAAAACTCCCATTGATTACAATGATGCTTAAATTCAGTGTTCAGAGAAACCAGTCTGTTGGTACCACAAGTCTTCCAGAGACCATCACAATGTTTTTCACATGTGGCCATGAAAGAGTAATACTGTAGGTGAAACAGAAATTGATAATTGTGAGCATTCTGGTGAATGTCATGTGTCCTACATTTGTTAAGGGCATGGTGAACTGTGAGAGATTAGAAACATGCTGTGTCTGGCTTGACAAGAACCTGCTGCTGAAGTTCAATCCCACAACTGTCACAGTAGCTAATGAAATCAATAATGACCTGCCCTAGACCAAAGTAATTACCTTTTGTGACTAATGAATTAAACCACATAGGAGAAACATTTTTTTCAGCTTTTATCACCTTGATAAGGACAACAGCTGTTGTCCATGTTCATTCTTCTGTCACAACAGGCTCCACATAAACTGGGGGACAAATAGTGACAAGAGAGAAGCTATACATAAATATACAAGTTGACATCAACTGAGAGGATTTAACCCATTGACTTCAGAATATCAGTGCTTCCCTAGGTCCCAACATCTTCTTTCATTATTTTAATGGCACTTTAGAAGAGTGGGAAACAACAAAAATGGTCACGTGCTCTGAGGAGAATAACAAATTCTCTTCATTCACTCTTTAAATAACCCTTCCAGTGACTTCAAAGAGGTTGGTCAGGTTTTTAGCTGTGGAATTCACTGCCCAACAAAACTATGAATGGCTGTTACATCACCCCATGAAACCCAGGTCAGAAACTTAGCTCTTATGTTCTGAGCAGAGTACAGCTTCTCTTTACTAGCTGGATCAAAGTGAGTTGGGAAACCTGTTTTAAGAAAAACCTTGGAAAGAAAACAGCTGATCTGATATGCATCATTCTGGGACAGTTCTTTAATGGCATCTTGAACCCGATTGCTCTATCTGTGACTGTGGTCCAACTGAGTAGCTAGAGCACACTTATTGGCAGTGTCAATGATGCTTAGCTTTAGAGCCATGCTGCTTTGCCAATGACATGACACATCTGTTTATTGCTGGCAAGAAAAAGTAATCTGTAAGTAAATGAGAATTTATTCTTTTAACCTTTTGTAGTGATGACAGAAGCTCAGCCAGTAAATTATTATGAAGCCTTAGAAAATCCCTGAAGGAGGCTAAGTGCATTTTTATTACTGCTTGGCCTAGACCGGATTTAATTCTTTGATTTGGATCCAAATGTGCTCTGGTCTGTCTTGGCATGACTAATCTGAGCCAAAATATCAGACCTTAGACTACTCAGACTTCAAAATTTCTCAGATTTGAATCCAGATTTAAGTTTTGTGGTCTGGAAACTAACTGCTTCCTGCTAACTTGAAATCCTGCCTTAGATTCTGCATTGGCAAATAATATTACTGACATGAAGTATTATAGCTAGTGCTACAGCTCATTATGTGCTAGTGATTTTCCTCACCTACAATAGAAGAAATTGAGAACCCTAAACTCAGATCTTTTCAGATAAGTTTAGGGGGAACTGACTTTAAGCAGTTTGTTTTAAAATGTATTTATTTGTACTTTTGAGCATATATTTAAAAAAAATAAAACTAAAAACAGCTAGCACAAGGCCTAATACCCCCAAATGTGCTTCCAACTATACAGCTACACTTGCTCATGTTATTGGGGCAGTAGCATATGCATATATGTAACTATGTACCTCAAAACTCATTTGTGCCCAAAATTTCTGATCTCCTTAGACCAGGGGTTTTCAACCTTTTTTAAGGAGTGTACCCCTTCTG